AGTGTTTCTTTTGTAAAGTATAAAATGGCACGGGCCCCATAGTGACTACAGTTATGGATGCAGTGCCACATAGCATTACAATTTGCTAAAAGTTGTTTTTATTGTTTCCTCCATGTATGCTACCAGGAAGAATGTGATATTTTCACAATATAAATAGTAACAAATTGTACTGTATGCTTTCTATGTATGATTTTCTTTTCTTGTTTAATGAAATGAATACAATAAAATTTAACAAAAATACCATGACTATAGTTTCACGATATGTCCACAGAATCTCTCTTTTCTTCTATTTTTACAAATGTAATTTAGTTAGTACTGTGTTTCTAAAGTATTCAGTATTAGTTGGTCCCAATTTTGTAGCATATAATTAAACAAAGTATTCAGTATTTTAATAAAATTTACACTTGATTTGTGAGAAATGTGAAATAGTTTTTTGAGCATATAATATGGAAACAGTTGACATTATCATGAGTTCACTTCATCCCATTTTGACAGAAAATTGTTACATATGTGTGCAGAAAACTTTCTGCATTTTTAAAGCATTTAAGCTTGTTTGATTTAATTGACTAACATTTTGTTTTGAAGGTATATCCATCTTCCTACAAATGTCTTGAATTTATTCTCCTTTATAGGGAAGTAATATTCCATCATGTATAGATACCATGTTTTCTTCAGTCATCCTTGGGTTACAATGGACCAATGAATATCTTTGCGTGCAAACTTCAGGTAAAACAGCAGAAGCAGTCCAGAAAGGCAGCTGGGCTTCTAACATACAGTTAATATTAGTGAAATATTCAGAACAATCCAGACCCTTTATTTACAACAGCTGTGTGGCACTTTCCCAGCCAAACGGTGATTCACAATGGAAACCTCATATAGATGCACTCTACGAATGTATAATACAGACAGATACTCCAGTGAGTGCACCCAGACTGCATTCCCTGTATGTAGTTTATACCCAAACACTGAGTTCTAGATTGCTTGTAGTTAACAAACATCTCCAAGAGTCATACACTTCCATTCAGTTCTTTGGGATACAATGGACCAGTGAATATTTTAGTGTGCAAACTTCACTTAAAAGAGCAGAATCATATTAGTGAAACCTTCAGAACTCTCCAGGCCCTTTCTTTGCAATAGA